TGCAAGTCTAGGTGTTTTTTAGCCTGTGGACTGGGTTTATGCACCAAAACATGATTGGATACAGTGTAGAAAGTGTGAGAGGTGGAAGCTGCAATGATCCCTTCTGGCTCTTCCTAAGGTTTCAGGCACAAAGAGCAAAGTTTGTTTTGATTCTTAGGTTGCATCAAAAGTTAAGGACTTTCTGTTTGAAGCTGGCCATCAGAGGTAACTGGAATTTAACTCACTAGCAGGAAATATTTCTGCTGTAACTCAAGTATTTGAGAAGAGTGGAGTGGACTTCTGGTATTTCCCGTTTAGCACCAAATGAACTGCTGGAGAAAGGGCATCTTTGAATATGGGTTAGAGTAGCTGCCCTTCAAGTAAGCTCCAGAAATCCAGCTTTAAAAACAGAGCCCTCAATGGGATTGGCTGTTCACTTACACTGTCTAAATTGCATTTTTTCAGAATTGCGATGCTGTTGGACTGGGGACAGATTACAAATGTGTAAATACAGATTATTTGATTTTATTCAGAAAACTCAGAAAGGCTTTTAACACAGAAGTGCTTCAATGTTAAAGCAAGACAATGATTTTACTGCACAGGCATGAAGGGATTTGTTGTTGAAATGGGTTTGATTTTAATAAAAAGCTCTGGATTTATCCTGGTGAAGCACATCCAGGAGGTGCTCGATTCTCCTGTAGTGATTCAGAGATTGAATTGCCTTTCTTTCACTGTAAGTGCTTCTAAACCATCCAGTAAAGCAGTTTTTCCTCTTCAATCCTAGCTTGGGTAGACAGATATCTGCAGGGGATGCTGTTCATCAACAATGTTCTGTTATGTCCCTAATAACGTGACTGTGGAACTTCTTGAAAAGTAAGGATGATGAGCACAGTCACTTAAAATACAAACCAAGCACTAGTACTTTTAAGACAGGGAAAGGAGGAAATTTAGGCAAGACTTCAGATTTGAAAACATGTATTTCCAAAATGATGGAATACATAGATACATCCTTCATTATGGTAAATATATAAACCATGGAAAGTCTTTTGAAAGTTCTCAGCTTAAAGTATATAAAAACTTCTTTCTGCAAGTGAAAATGTGCTCTAGATATCAAGAGATTGTTCTGGTGTGCAGGAAGTAATTCAGGTCTACTCCTGGGACAGGACCTGCAATCAGAAGGTGCTCCTGGAGGTACTGGGTGAAGTTCATGTGAAAATGTGCCCTCCTTACTGAGGAAAAGGAAGGGCAGCCATTTCTATGTAACTTTATCTGGACAGTTGGGGCTTGAGACCTGTGGAGAGTTACACAGTGAAAAGAGAGAATCATGAATGAGGCTTTCCACCCAGACAGGCAAGTTGTAGGAGAGCAATGTCAGTCAAAGTCAGCGCTGAGGGAGCACAGCCATGTGTACAGCAAAAGGAAGTCTCAAAACCCAACTCAGGTCAGCTCATACAAATGTTGACAGTGTAACTGTACTGGTAAAATATAACTACCTTAGCAAAACTCACTGTATCAGCACAACTTAACTGGGCAAGGAGGTCCTTTTGCTAATGGGTTGTTGATCGTGGGACCACACTGATTCCCTTACAGTGATGTTCAACTGTGGCATTAATGGGGTTTTTTCTGGGATTGCTCCACCAGTAATGCCTTTTAGAGCCCAGTCCATTCCTGAGGAGCCAAAAAGGGAGATAATGGGGAACTGTGTCTTCAGAGACTGCCTTTTCCTCTGAGAAACACTTCTGCCTTTGAGCCGTTTCGATGAGGAGTGTTGAGATGAAATTGTTGTTTGTGCTTCAGAGCATGGCTGAGGCCAGGAAAAGGGGTGTGGAGCCACTGGGATGGTGAAGTCTAGGGACAGTTGGGTATCTTTGGTGTGGAGCTTGTAATTAGTGTTGAAAATCACACAAGAAAAAAGAAGGGAAGGAGCAAGTGGCAGATAATTGAACCTTTGGGGAGCCTACAGAGAAAGGATTGTTGGCATGGAGCTAAAAGTAATTTATAGAACAGAAAAACAGTTGTTAGATAACTAGAAGCAAAAGTATAACAAGGAGAGGCAGGGATGTACAGAGATGGATCTAGAGAGGGGAGCCGGGAGGAACAGGAGATGTGCATTAAGTGCTGCACTTGCATCAAAGGCTGCTTTTATCATGAGGAAACATAGCCAAAATGGAAAACAAACAGCAGCTCAAACAAAGCAAAAAAAATACTCCAATTGGCTCCTTTGGCAAAGAGTCAGGTTCTTTGAAACGCCTGTTCAGGGTAGGCTGGGAGAGGTGTGTTCTGAAGCCAGCAGTGATCTGTTATATCCAAGGGTGCTCTGTCAGGAGTGCCAGCTCCCTGAGTCACCTCCATACAACACAGACCCTATTCCTGCATCACTGATTCCAGCTGTTTCTTTCCCTGATGGGGTTAATCCCACCATACAGGATTATTATAAACTGTGGTTTCCACTGCTACCGTATTGCACACAGTGAGGATGAGAGATGTGGCCATCTGGGCATGCACTCATGTGTCTTGGGGTGCTTGAGAATTTGGGAATATAAGACTGCTGGTAGACTTGAGATAATAACATTTATGTGAGATGGTTTCAAAACACTACTGTCAGCGGTAATGTTACTCCTGGACATCAGTGCTTTCTGCAATGAATAAGTGGTCCAAAATTAGTTATTTTAAGTACAGTGTATAGCTATTCAAATTCCTGAGTTCACTATTTATTACACATTCAGATTAATTTTGTTCCTTAATATTGTTCTGTTGTAACTATATTGTAGCAGATAGAAATCACCATGCCGTAGTCATTTTCTTCATTTTTTCTCCAGAGACAAGAGCTTTTCTCTATCTTCATTATAGCATAGTTCTATCAGGAAAAAGACTTTGTTTCTTTAGAAGTCAACAATACTACTGTTAGCCTTTAATTTTGCTTTTCCCTTCCCTCCATTTTAGTACCATGTTCAGTAGAAATAAATGTGCTTACTTATTTTAATATGCAACAAATTTCCAAAAAAGTGCAGTTGTAATTTTTCAAGCATAAGGCTGTTCATTTAAGAAATGCAGACAACTTCCTGCTAAGAATTCATTGTTCAATTCTCATTCTTTAAATGGCAAATAAATTTTAATTTAGGTCTGTATTTATTACACATTTTTCTCAGTATTTTTTTCTCTTTTTTGGAACAAATATAAAAACTTGATTTATTTCTCTCATGTCGGATAAAACCCAAACCAACACTCTACCAAAAACCTCCAGCAGTGAGTGTCATGGCCTCCTGAGATTCCTGCCCTCCAATGATTAAACTGGTGCACAGCTCCCTGTTTTCAGTTGTGGGGGTACCAGGGGCCTGGCTGTGGGCAGCCCTTTCTGTTTGTACTGGAGGAAGTACCCCCATGATTCAAGCTTAGATGGTGGATGTACATCTGTGGCCTCCAGTGAGGTAGGAAGGAGGAACACAAGTTCAAAACCTGCAGAATGGACCTTGTCCCAGGGAGGCTGGGAAGCCCAAGGACGGAGGCACTCACCAGCCTCCCTCACCATGGGGTTTGTTTCCAACTTCAGAAAAATCGTGTCTTTCCAGCTCTGCATTGAGATGTAAAACTCTCTGGATGTGCTTTCCCTAATCAAGAGAAGGGAGATAGCTCTGCAACCTTTGTGAGACATTCATAAAAAGGAAATCCATCATCTGTTGGTCCATCCCAGTGTGTGACAGGTAATAGCAGTGTCTCTCAGTGCTGCCTGGATGCTGGGAACACACTGTACAGAACTTGATGCCAGGGACTGTGGATGCTGCTTCAGCTCCCAGTCCATGCAACACTTGAGATGCTGGCACTCTGCCAATGTCAGCCTGTCCCTCCTGGGACTCACACCACAGTTCCGTGTCCCTCAATGCCATTTAAAATGCCTTTGGCACGTTTTCTAAGCCAAATAACAGCAAGCGTTCTTTTAAGCAGCCTCCCGCTTTAGAAGGCTCCAGTGGAAAAAAGTCACAAAAAAAAAAAAGGTCTGTCATTATTGCATGCATTTTCAAAACTAACTGTAGCCAAAGGGTTTCTTTTCGTGGTTCCACGCAGCACAAGAGCTGCATCTCTGCAGGAGCAGACCTGTAAAGGGAAACGGTTGTTGCCAATGGCCCAACACTCACATCATACATATTTGGAAAGGGGTAGTTCTGGACTGGCTCCCCTGCTGGCCGCATGATGTACATTCCAGACAGCATCTCCCACTTTCACTTCACCCAAGAGGAATCAGTTTGCATCCTCCGAGACACCTTGGTGATGTGAACGAAATCAACAGCATGGGAGGGACTCTGACAGAGTCACTTCGAAGGCGTGCTCGAGATGTGTAACGAAGCACAACGTTCACCCAGGGAAGGTCCTGTCCTTCCTATGGGCCTCCGACATCCTCCCTGCGGGGGGTCTGAGCAGTGTAACATCGCGTCCAGCCAGCTGCTTCGGAAAGCAGGTCTGGAGACTTCACGAGCCCCGTTCCTCCTCACCGAGCTAAGCGCTTCCAAGCAAATACACTTGTTGCACCAGCCGAAAGACGCTTTAAGATGGATTCAGCTGCGTGTAATAACTGTGTGAATTTGAATTGCCCTCTCTCATCCTGCTTCGCTCCGCTGGGAGGACGGGAAATGATAACGCCTCTGCCCGGAGGGATCCCCCAATGCTCCCGCCGGCACTGAGGGAGGGTTGGGAGCCCCCTTCGCTTCTGAGGCGACTTTCCCGTGGCCCTGGCAGGAGCGGAGACCTCGGGTGGGGTGTCCCCGCTCCCGGCCCCCAACGCGGCCCCGGCGCGGTGCCGGCGCAGCCCCCGGCCCGGCCCCCGCGGGGCGGAGGCAGGTGCGGGGGGCGGCGGCGGCGCGGGCCCGGGAGCTGCCCCGGGAGCTGCCCCGCGGGGGCGCGGCGCCGCCCCGCACCTGGGCCCGCCCCGCGGAGGCGGGCGGGGGGTCCGAGGCCGCCGTGCGGTGCCGGGCCGGCGGGAGCGGCATGTCCCGGGGCGGCGGGGGCCCGGCGCCCTGAGCGGCGCCATGCGGGGCCGGCTGCTGGCGCGGCTGAGGCGGCGGCGGCTGCTGCGGCTGCTGCTGGCCCTGGGCGCGCTGGCCCTGGGGCTCTGGGCCGCCTACCTGGAGCTGGTGGCCACGGCGGGCGGCGGGGCTGCCCCGGAGCGCAGTGAGTGACCCCCGGCGCGCCGCGGGAGGAGGGGAAGGCGGGGAAGGGCTGGAAGGGCTGGAAGGGCGGAGGGGGGGTCCCGTCCCTCGCAGCCCGGCGCGGCCCCGGGTGGTCCGTCCCGCTCGGGCGCCGGTGCGGAGCCCCCTCTCCAGGCCAGGGAGGGACGAGGGGTGAGCGCAGCCCCGCTGCTTCCGGGGGTCGGAGCGGGGCTTTGTCCCCCTGGATGGAGACGGGCGTTGGGGGTTTCACTCCCTGCCTTTGGCCTCTCGGCTCTCGCCCCGCTCTGTGTGGGGAGACCTGTCCAAATGCGACCGTGCTGGAATTGCAGAGCCCGGAGACACGGGCTTTGAGGTGTCTCTGGTTCTCGGTGCCAATCTGGAAGGCAGCAAAGATGCTTTGAATATCGCTTTGATGCGAGGAGAAGTGTATGCAGAGGAGGAGGGAATGCATACCCTGGAGAGGCGCACCGCCCGCCCAGTAACGGGCTCGCTTTGTGCAAACTTTGAGGAGAACGGCGGGGATGATGCGAAGTGCACTGAGCTTCTTCTCCCCCCCCCCCCCAAGTATGGGAAAACAGTTATTTTTATCAATGTCTTGTGGGTTCTTATGCTTCTCCTTTTTTTTACAGTTACAGGAAAGTTTCAAATGTCTCACTTTTTTTTAAAGCCCATGATGCTGTTGATGTTGTTTTAAAAAGAATAGCAGTGCTTGGAGTTAATCTAATTTGATAATAGTTTCTTAACTGACATGAGTATTCAACTAATAATACTTTCCAGTATATTGGTCCCTTCTTAACATGTTATAAACCTCCTAATTCTTACTCCTATGAGTCAGGCTTGGTTTCAGTCTTAAAGCTTTAAACTGTGGCTGTGTGGGGAGCACCATGAATGTCTACTCCCACAAAGTCCACTACAGGACTTCAACTTGTTCATTTGTTCTGTATTATATGTGATGTTAAGGCTAAAATCATACATTTATTATTCCAACAGAGTAACAAATCAGATTTCTTTGGTTAGGATAAATCCTCTAGTTGCAATCTGCTTTTTGTGCCTGGTGGAATTCCTCATTCCTGGTGAAATGAGAAGATGAGTTGCACTACAAGTTTACTTTGAGTTACATCTTTTGCACCATCTCACCAAGCCTCTTACTGTACTCCACTTTGCCAATACCCCTTCCAAAGTTCCTTAGACAAGACTGTACAGGTGTACAGAGGACTTGTGTAGTACAGCAAGGGAGAAAACAAGCTCCTCAGAAGTATTTAAAATAGTGGTTATGAGGGGAGAGGGGCTGAGTCAGGTGTTTGGAGCTTGTACAGGTGATGGTCTTTTTGCTGCCAGCAATGCAAAGGGAGGTGGAGGGGATGGGAGAAATGGGCAGAGAGCATGAGGACAGCAGAGACGTGCAAGAGCAAACAACTTTTTTAATGAATTGGGTTCTTCCTCTTTGCTTTTAGACAGGGTTATTTTTACATCTCTGTTACAAAAGTCATTCTGTTATAACATTGAAATGGAAAGCAGTGACATGATTACAGTTATTAGCAACTAAAACAGAAGACGAGAAAAATAATTACTTTGAAGTTCAATTATATAAAAGTCCAGCTTCTCCCAAATCCACCGGAGACATTGCTGCTCATTGCGTGCAGAAGGATTAAAATGCTGCTGGAAAGGGTGGGAGGGTGAAACCCTCCAGCTGGCAGTGCCTCGCGGCTCTGCAGCATCATGGAGGGCTGTGGTCACACTGGGCACTTGGTGTCGTGTTTTCTTGGCCTTGTGGCCAGAATCCTGGAACCTGCTAACAGGAGGAAGGTTAATCCGTGACCCTCCCCACCCTTCCTCTTGCCCTACTACCTCTAAAAGCCTGTTTTGTTTTAAAAGAAATCAGAAATCTGAGCGAAAGACAAATAGTATTTGTTTTCTTTTGCCTGTTAAAACGAAGTAATGTTTTCTTCTCTGGGGACAGGGATGGCTGTGTTTGTGACTCCACGTGGTGACTCTTTTCAAAGATCCCAGGGAGCTAGTGTAGGAGGGAGTGCCTCTCAAAGCAATTAGTACTTTCCCCCTTGTTTCTGCATTGTGTTCCATTGCATGTCCCAGATGAGAACCCTACTGCAAATCACACTTGGGACCAACCAAGAGCTGCCACCTCAACTTATCTGATGCAACAGCCTCCTCAGTTATTAATGCTAAAATACAAAGGCTGTTTATTGGGTAATTCTTCTGAGCAAAAGGCTAAGAGGCTTCTCCATTGGGGCAGAAAGAGGAAGAGCTGCTGGGCTTGGAAGGAGATCTACAGGAGATAACTGTTTCTGTCTCCTGTATCTGTAATGAAGTTTCTTCTTGTCTCCGTAAAAGGCATTGTAGAATAGAACAGCCAGTATCTGGAAAGCCAAGTATGTTTTCTTTTTCTGGAGAGGGGAGTCTTCCTCATGAAAGGCTATAAGGAGTCACAGAAAATATTCCTTTTCCTCTCAGCCATGCATGGAATGGAGCAGAAGCCCCTGTGATACCCCCTTGCTCCCAAGTCAGTGAGTTAGAGCAAGTCTTTAGGCATGATGGATCCCTCCCCAGCTTTATGCTCCTCTCCTCCTCTTCACCCTCCAGATGAGTGGTGGAGAAAGCAAATGTCAGATGGTCGGGGTGAGTGTGTTTGAGTAAGTGATGCTTAAAAATTGAGGCCCTGGCTGTCCTTCCTTGATGTATGTGCAGCTCTGCTATGCAACAAATTCAAGCATATAAATAGTTTGGATAAAAGAGACTAAGGAGTCAAGGAGAATATGCCATAATCGTTGGTATCCATTGGCATCCATGATGCTGCATCCCCATGTGCTGGGGCAGGCTCTGGCGTGAGGTTCACTTTGCTGTAATGTTAAAGTCAAAGGCTGAGGGATCAGCCTGAGGTGCAGACCTTGTGCTTGGTGTACACCATGGGTTGGGATTCATGTGGACAAAATTGATCTGGGCTGTTTGTGGCTGTCTGGGAGGTTGGGATGGAGAAGGACAGAGGATAGAATGGGTTCCCTTTGAAGGTGATGCTAAAATGAGCAGTCAGTCTGGTAAAAGAAAAAAATTTGTGAGCTTTATTGACAGAACTGTTCTCTCATGGGCAGGAGGGTGTTTCCATGTTTCTATTGTTGTTGTGGGGCTTGCCTTTTTCTTTCTTTTTTTTTTTTTCTCTTAATTGAGCATGTTTGGCTGGTCTGCTGCCCAATAGGTATTTTTAGGAATCTTAAATATGTTTACAGCTGAGTGAAGAAAAACAAGTAGGCTGATGTGAGTTGAAGATGGGCACCCTCTTCACATGAAATGTGGCCTGTTGTCATCCAAAACAAGTTGTAACAGGCAGGATACAGCCTCCCTGCCAAGAAACCGGAGGAGCTGGAGACAGTCTGTTTACTCCTGCTGCTGACAGGCCCTAACCTCTGTGGAGTGGGCTCTCCAGTAGGAATGTTTTTCTCATCTTTACAAGCTGCTGCACAGCACACTTTGCTCCTGCAAGTGAATGCTGGAGATGGGAAGACTTTATTATTTCGAATGAGGTGTTGGCAAGGGAGAAAACACCAGCAAAGCACAGAGGTCTTGAGAGCAAGGCCTGCACCCTGCCTTTACTGCTGTTATGCCCCTGGCTTGGCAGCAGAGCTTGAGGGGACAAGTGCAGCAACAGGTCTTCCCCAGGGAAGACCCCCCACTCTAAGGCACTGCCACTTCCCAGAGCTGCTGCAATGCTGTTTGAATGGAAAAGATGTTGGGTCAGGCAACTCTTCCTGCTACCTCTGTTGTTCTCTTCTGTGCCCAGCAGTGCCTCATCTGGCCCACCTGAGCAGAAAGGTGTGTCTCTGAGGGAGCACAGCTGGTGTCAGTGAGCTGTGCTTGCAGGCAGGATGTGCAGTGATCCCCCTTTGCTTTAAAATCTTGTGTCAACGTAAGCCCCATCCCTGAGGAAACTTGGAGGTGAGGTCATTCCCAGCCGTTGCTGTGCAGAATCTGGGGGTTTTTTTTACTGCAAAGACCATGGTATCTCAGGAGTCTATAAATTGTTTGCACTGATTTCTTTTATTGCAGGTGTGAGGGTTACATTGAGCCAGGCACAAGCAGGATGTGCAGGATTAGATTAGAATCCTGGGAGGTGCAGCTTGTAGGAACAAGGAATGAGGGGGGGGCATTCTTTAACCTGCCTCTCTTGGCTGCTTCAACCTACCCCGGTTCCTCCTCATTTTATTGTTGTGTGTAAATAACACTGTATGTTATCTTCCTATCTTGGACTGTGTTAGTGATTTCTGTCTCGCTTCTAGATTCTCAGACTGCTGCTTTTCTACCTCGGTAGTGTGCACTCCCACTCTCTGAAGCGGGGAAATAGGAGGGGTTCAGAAGAAACCATGGAGATGTGCAAATAAAAAAGTCCTTTGGCAAGACTTTTGCAGTATGTACATCTTCAGTGTCCCTTTCCTTTCCCAGAGCATTGGTTTCTTATCCCTCCACCACAGTGAGCTCTAATCTTCAGGCATCCAGGCTACTATGGAGCAGTGCGAGTTGCTTAAAAACTGCCCCAGGTGTTGGTGTGAATGGACAGGTGCGTGTGTTTGTGGGAGAGAAGGAGCTGGCAGGAAGCTGAAATTGGTCATTTATTGTAATGTATCAGCTTCCTTCTCTCACCTCCATGCCCAGGCACTCTCAGAAGCATAAAGAGGAGCACACCTACGTGCACAGGTTCATTCACGTGCACAGGTTCATTCACATGCACACGGACTGACTTTTGCAATCGCTCACACGCGAGGTGACTTGCCTGTGCATGCACAGTATCGTTCTTTTGCAGAGAGAATTGCTCTGAGGGTTACTTAGTGCACACGGCGAGAAATCGGACCATGTGGCTCTCCAGTGGTGTCTGAAGTATCTATTTCCACTCTGTGGAAGCTGTGGAAGCTGAGGAAGAGTTAAACTATCACCCCTGAAGCACCTTGTCCTGACTGAAGGAAGTGTCTGTACCATGAGGTTTGCATGTGGTGT